ATATATATATATATATATATATATTATAATATATAAATGCTAATAAAGCAGGTATCAGCCACACAAATATAGCCACCTATACCTATTGCATCACGTCAACATACCGTTGGTCGGAACATTTCGTCCGGGACACCAGCGGATTCGCTCGTTTTCTTCATTGTGTCGGTGTGGGCGTGTGAGGATGGGCTTGCGCGCTGTGAGCTATATACGACACAATGGTTCACTGAATTGATGCAACTGTGGTAGAAGTGCCTGAAGTAGTACAAACTACACAGACAGTACACCTGTGGTGTTGTTCTGCTGACTACGACTGATATCAGTCCAATGCGGCTATTCCCACCAGACGATGGCGTAGTATCTATAGCGAACACAGACTGCGCTATGTCTGGGCAGTGGTTGCACGGGTACTGGTCTAATCTGAAGACCACCTTATTATTCTGGGATCGTCCTTGCTGCGGGTGCTGCGTTGATATGTATGCACAAGCTCTAGTAAACGTGTGGGGTGAAAAGTAATGCACTCCGAGGGCTTACAACCCATTTGATTCTCACCCGCACACTGTAGTGTCTGGTTGTATTCTACAGGTGCACATGTTCATGTCAGTTCACTGTATGTCTTTACAGGCGACTTGTCCTGTGAGCACTGAGCGCTACTACGAAATTTTGATAAATAGAAACCCAACAAATGCGGAACATAACCTCAGTCCTTAGGTCGTTTCTCGTTTAAACGTTTTGAGTAATCGTTTTGCGTCAAAGTAAAACGTCTATGTTGTAAGTGCACTTTCGGGTTGTTAACGGGGTGCAATTCTCGAGTGAGCCGTTTATCCTTTCGTATACGTTAATGCGTATAAAACTCAAAACACACGCTCAGGTTTGTGTTTACGTTCAACGTTTAAAATGCCGCAGACGCCAACCACACATGGAAAGCCCGTTACGTCATCAGTTTTCAAGAGATTTCTTAGAGATATGTAATCAATTGCAAGACCCCGTTGTGCGGTGTGGTTTATTTATCGCTGATAATACGCTCCTGCACAGTCTGTGTGTGTGTGTGTATCTTCTTGGCATTAGCAGTTAGTAGTTAGTTCAGTGGACAGATATTGGTATACAGCCCATCCATCCATCCATCCATCCATCCACCTAGGCACAGCTTACAGCCCATAACCTGATTCAGCATGGGTCGCGGAGGAGGGCGTGGTGGTAAACGGGGTAGCCGAGGGGGGGGCAAGCGCAGCCAAGGGAGTAGCACCCGAGGCAAAGCCAAAGGGAAAGCCGGCCCAATGAAACGGTCCCGAGGCACAGGCGCAGGTGCAGGCGAGGCTGAGCGACCGGCCAAGGTGACTCGAGTGGATAGAGACCACATGAAGGAGTTTGGTGATCAGCATCCGGTGAATGAACTGGAGTTTGAGGGCGATGCCAGCGATGCGAGTGATTCAGAAAGTGGGGGTAGGCGGGAGGGGAAGGCGTTTAACGGCAGAGCTACCAGTGAGCGCAGCACGGGAGCAGTGGACGGTGAGATTGACTCAGACAGTGATGGGGCGGGTGTGCACGGTGCGTATGCGAAGCTGTTGGGGTCACTCAGTAGCACTGGACGGCACAGACGGGTCGAGGCTAGGGCTCGGCTGGGGTTAGGGCCAACGAAGCTTATTGCTGGGGGGGTGGGTGTAGGGGAGAGTGCAGAAGCGCCGGAGAGTGGAGATGAGAGTGACACAGACGACAGAGACAGGACACGTGTGGGCAGGAATGGACAGGATGTTAGCGCTGAGGGTAAGGAGAACGGCGGTGCACCGGTCATGGGCGAAGGAGAAGACAACAGTGCAAGTGGTACTGAGTCTGAGAGTGAGGATGGCTCGAACAACGAAGACGACACACGCACCACAGACACAGCCGAACTAAGCACAGACGACCCATTCGACAGGCATTTCAACAGTACTGAGTGTACTGAGGTGGATGCCATTGCCAAGGATGTGTACCGGACGGAGAGGGACTTTGCCTTCCACACAGCCGCGTATAGTAATCTCAGGAGGCCTCTGCGCAGCCAACAGGCGGTGGAGGAGGCTGACTTATCTAAATTCCATGTATGTGTGTCTATGCACATGTGTTGTGTATGTGTGTCTATGCACATGTGTTGTGTATATGTGTTTATGTACATGTGTTGTGTATGTAGTGTCTATGTACATGTGGTGTGTATGTGCTTCTATGTACATTTGTTGTGTATGCGTGTCTATGCACATTTGTTGTGTATGTGTGTCTATGTGGTATGTGTCTATGTACATGTGTTGTGTATGTGTGTCAATGTCCATGTGGTGTGCATGTGTCTATGTAAATGTGTTGTGTATGTGTGTCTATGTACTTGTGTTGTGTTTGTCCTTCATCGGTGCGTGGTGTATATATACGAACAGGCGGACTTATCTACATTCCATGTATGTGCGTCTATGTACATGTGTTGTGTATGTGTGTCTATGCACATGTGTTGTGTATATGTGTCTATGTACATGTGTTGTGTATGTGTCTATGTACATATGTTGTGTATGTGTGTCTATGTACATGTGCTGTGTTTGTGCTTCATCGGTGCGTGGTGTATATATATTGACCTGTCGCGTGCGGTGATATCTGATGGTGAGTGGTTGGTTGAGGGTTCTCCTGTGGTTGCCTGTCTTTGTTACTGCACTGGGATGATATGTACATCTGAGTGGGCTTGTTCTCCAAACCGATTCACATAGCGTAGCGGGCCGCACCAAGAGGCGTGCATACTTGATCCAACAGCAGGTTGTCATGGTAACCACATACACGTGGCGAACCGTCGTTTCATCCCAATGCCTTGGTTCACTGTGTACATTGTGTGCGCTGTACTGTTTGGTCGCACCTTGTGCCATGGTGTTTGTCCTGTGGTGTTGTACTCGAGTGTACTCATAGTGTACCCGTGTTGCACCTGCACCTGGGTGTCCTATTGGCATGGAATCAGGTGCAGGAGATAGCTTTTATTATTTTGATGTACTGTGAGGTATACCTGGCTTGCACGAATGGTTTTTATATGGTCTATACGTTGCACGGAGCTATTCAATATGGTCGATATTCTTCACAGCTTCCAATAGTGCATACCTTGCCTCTACTATTGTCTCTATACATATCTATATATATATATAGTTATACAGACACACACACACACACACACACACACACACACAC